CATTTGGTTGAATGTTTACGCCCATTCATTTAGTTTAGAGCAGGTCTTCTGGTGCCAGTTATAGGCCATGCTTCAGCCAATCAGCTGGCTAGATTCATACTTCAGCCAATCAGCTGGCTAGATTCATACTTCAGCCAATCAGCTGGCTAGATTCATACTTCAGCCAATCAGCTGGCTAGATTCATACTTCAGCCATTCAGCTGGCTAGATTCATACTTCAGCCAATCAGCTGGCTAGATTCATACTTCAGCCAATCAGCTGGCTAGATTCATACTTCAGCCTATCAGCTGGCTAGATTCATACTTCAGCCAATCAGCTGGCTAGATTCATACTTCAGCCAATCAGCTGGCTAGTTTCATACTTCAGCCAATCAGCTGGCTAGATTCATACTTCAGCCATTCAGCTGACTAGATTCATACTTCAGCCATTCAGCTGGCTAGATTCATACTTCAGCCAATCAGCTGGCTAGATTCATACTTCAGCCAATCAGCTGGCTAGATTCATACTTCAGCCAATCAGCTGGCTAGATTCATACTTCAGCCAATCAGCTGGCTAGTTTCATACTTCAGCCAATCAGCTGGCTGACTCTTGCTTTTATAAAGCATGAGAACATTTACCATGCTTTGACTTTCAGAAAGTGGTTACTGTTATGTTAAATATTTCCATTGTTTGCAAACCATGCTTAATGATTTAGCCGGGAAGAATGCGGATAACAATGAAATGCTTGGCTTACAGCAGTGAATATTCATCCACATGTTAATTCTCAATGTTTATACAGCTTAGGTAATCTGAACCACAATCATTTATGGTGAAAAATGATATTTTTGAATTCTTGTTGAAAACAGCAAGTCCCATTGCATTGATACTATGCATATTGTTCATTTTCTAATGATATCTTCTGTTCTTTAATTGAAATGTGCATTACTAACAGCGGAGCTATCTCAGCCGAGAGGCTGCTTGTTTTTTGTTAAAGTGAAAACCTATGTGCTTCTATGTTGTCTCCTTAACTTGTCCATCTTTCAGTTAACATCACAAGTAGCAGACAATGTAGACGAAACAGACCAACTCATTCAAGGTCTGAGTGCATTCTTACTAGGAATCTGTCTACAATTCAATGACGACTCCATTGTTGCATTTGATAAGTAAGTTCTGTTTTGAAATATATTAAAGCGGGGGAGTCGTCACCTGCTCATGCGTTAGATGGCCATAGCATGTCTTTGTTTACAAACAAGCGTCTATCTATGAGCCTTTGTGCTTTAAGGGTGTGTTATCATCGCTTGGGACTCAATTCACGCGTGTGTGCAGGTGACGACCCTCCCACTTTAGCTTAGATATATGTAATTATATTCCTATATATTTTGTGGAACTGAGGGTACTATGAGGTTAAAATGAGGATACTACAAAGTATGCATGGAGACAGTACAGCGGAAGTATCAACCAACGCACAGCTGTTATTATTTTACATCTTTCTCTCCCAGGAATATGCTGAAATCCAAAATGTGTAGAACAGATTTAGTGAACTTCTTTGTGTGGGGACCGGTCAAACCCTGGAGGCAACCATGTTTGTTTTTATTATTAGAGGACACTTACACGCATAATCATTCCATATTTGGAATTCACATTTCCTAATATGGTAGGATGAAAATATACAGTGCAATACAGCAAAATTATAGCACACTGTAGCGTTACGATGACAGATGTATAATAATAAACTTTATGCTTTGGAATCAACATGCTCTTTTTGGGTTATCTTTTTTTGAAAATTTAAACGCAATGTATGCTCTGTAGTACTATCCGGATTCACTATATTTACTATAGGCTGTCACACTTGTTTACGATTTTCGTAAGTGCACATGCACAATAACCGCTTGGTAAAAAAATGGCCATTTGCAAGCGAAGCGTAATTAACGAAACTGGGTTATCTTTTTCAAAAATCCAAAAGTAATGTATGGTTTGTAGCACTGTCCTCAGTTGATTCATCTGCTATAGGCTTTCACACTTGTTTATGATTTTCGTGTGTGTACAGTAACTGATTGGTAAAAACTGTTCATTTGTAAGCGAAGTGTAAAGAACGACACTGTTCGCTGCTGCTGTAATTAAATATACATGTATGTGTCCCTGTTAAAAACTGAGAATGTTGTCGCAGCAGACCACAAGCTTGTGCTAATTATTGAGTGACATTTGTCATCAGACATTCTCAGGCTGGTTGACAAAAATGTAAAAAATATAACGTCAATGACTGACAGTGATGCTACTACTTTTTTTTAAACAGTAATCTAATTGAAATGAAATTTTTGCTTGTGAATATTTGTGGCTTGCTAGATTTGCACATGGGAATTTCAGCATTTCAGTATGGTGATAGTGATTGGGTTAATTTATTGATTACCACTATTGATGTAGTAAGCTTTTGATTTCATTAAGTAGTGGTCTGCTTTTAATTCAAAGTGTAAAAACACACAATCCTATTGGACTATTTTTTTCATTCAACCCCTGAAAATGAAAATTTGTTTTTAATCGAATATACTTTTTTTACAGAGTGAATTTAAAGCAATTAATTGAGAAGAGGATCGGCATAGACTCGTTTATTGACAAATTAAACATGGTATGCAAGCATGAAAGTTACACCAAAGCAGCAATTAAACCACAGTTGAACTATGACCTCCCGGATCATCTACTCTTTGATTATGAATTTACATCATTATTTAAACAAGTAGAAAGTAAGTATACAAATGATATTTCTTCCTATTCTTGTAATTGCTCCATAAATGTCATTTACTGTAATTTACATTAAAGCGGGAGGATCGTCACTTGCGGACGCGCGGGAATTGAGTCACAAGCGACGATAACAAGACACACTAAAAATGCAAAGGCTCATGGGTAGACGCTTGTTTGTAAACAATGACACGCTATGGCCATTTAACGCATGCGCAGGTGACGACTCCCTTGCTTTAACATCACTGTATTTTCATCCTTACTAGTATACGTGCTAGGTAAATTTGAGATCTTTCTATACAATAATAAATGAGTCAATTGACAGTTATTTCAATCACAAATTTAATTAATATTACCCCTGGCCATGAGTGTGAATGATTACGTAAATACCGGTTTAATTAATATATCATTAAACTATGTGGACACGCACACTATTACAGTCAAGTCAGCTCCATGTGCTGTTCTTGAATGACTATTAGAGTTTGTCGAAGCTCCAAAAACATAAACTTCATCAATAACCACACTTGTCGCTAAAGAAACTCTTTAGCGACTGTCAGTGCATATATAGCCTGATTTACTTTCCAGTTTTGGCTCTCTTTATAACAGTTTGTAAATTTATACCAACATCACAAAATGGGACGATCACGTTATCATCTGCTCGGTAACTATCAGTCAATACAAGACGTAGGGATAACTGTCATGTCAATTACCATATTCAAATTAACTTGTATGCTGTAGTTGTATCGGCCACTGTCATGGTCTCCTACTGAACGTGGGAGCACAATCTAGGTAACATTTCTGTATTGTCATTGAGAGGGGGAGGGAAGGAATGACCCACAAAATAAGGAGAGTAGCAAGGCTAAGACGTCTACACTAAATCAAAGATTCGGCACCAGCGAAAAGTGCAACTAACACCCCCTTGCAACAGAATACTATTGAACGATTCTGATTTTCAAACGTCGCGTTTTTAGTGTTCTTTGCTCTAGTGTCGGTTTATTTGCGTTAAAGTGTATCAGATAGAGCAGTTGTGAGTGCATTCTGCGAGAAGGAAATGAACACAACTATGACGAACACTAAATTTGTTACATTTCGTCCAAAATTAACAAAGATATTATTTACAATGGGGTAAGGAGTGCCCAGGTTTGTTTAGTTCATTCATTAGTTCATGGTGATTTGCTTATTGCAGGTGTTATTATCAAAGCTGTGGAAGGAAGTGAAGAAACTGATGCTGTCAATAAGGAAGAACATCAAAAGACGATAGAAGATCATGATAATATAGTAACTCAATATAAAGAATTGATCAGAGAACAGGTAAGGTGGAAATAGAAATATCAACCCCTCAATTCTGTGCTCAATGGTGAAAATACCAACATTAATCCATAAAGTCTGCCCTCAATGGTGAAAATACCAACATTAACCCATAAAG